GGGGTATTCTTGGCAGGTTTATTCAGAGGAAACTTGCCATGGCCATCCTTTGAGGCTGAGAGTGTATGGAAGGCAATGGAAAACCTCCTCTGTACAAATCTTGACAAGAAAACCACATGATAGGCTCCCTTTGCTGTTGTTGTATGCCTTCATTTCCAACTTAGGGCAGCCCTAAGGCAAATTACCATGGTTTTCTTGGCAAGTTTATCAGAGGGGGCTTGCAATTGCTATCCTCTGAGGCTGAGAGAGTGCGACTTGCTTAAGAATCACCCAGTGGGTTTCCATGGCCGAGCTGGGATTTGAACCCTGGTTTCCAGAATTGTAGTCCAACAGTCAAATCATGATCCTCAGATTTGCTTTAGGGTTGCCATAAGTTGGGAATAGACCTGAAGGCACACAAAGAACAACTCCCATAGATTTCAGGGGGGACTTGCTCCAAAGCAAAACTGTTCATTGACCAGCAGTAGGTTCAGTAGCTTTGCCACTCTGCCTGGAAAACCTTGCTTGTCTTCATACATGTGGAAAGGGAAGGCCGCCAAAAGCAACTTGGTAGGACCCAGAGTGCCAATAATATGACATTAGTCTTTGAAACCAGCCTGCTTCACTCTTAAGGCTTTCTGCCTGTTGTGGAAAGGAGGCCCTCAGAGTCTCTTCTGAGCTTGCTGTGTTGTTGTGTGTCTCCAAGTCATTTTTGACATAAGGCGACGCTAATGAGAGCCAGTGTGGTCTGGTGGTTTGAGTGTTGGACCATGACTCTGGAGACCAGGGTTCGAATCCCAACTCAGCCAAGGAAACCCACTGCGTGACCTTGGGCTCTCTCCGGCTTTGCAAAGGCAAACCTCCTCTGAGCAAACCTTGCCAAGAAAACCTATGATAGATTTGTCTTAGGGTTGCCGTTAAGTTGGAAATAAATAATAATATTTATTTCTAGCCCACCTATTTCCAAAGGGAATGAAGGTGGGTTACAAGCATAAAAATAAAAGAATACAATAAGAAAACAATAATATAGAAGTTGCATAGAAAGCAAATACACGGGGGGGGGGCTATTTATTCTGGGAAGGCCTGTTGGAAGAGATCTGTCTTAAGTGCCTTTTTAAAAGCTGTTAAGGTGGCAATGTGACGGATGTCCTCCGGCAGGTTATTCCATAATCTAGGGGTGGCAGTCGAGAAGGCCCTCTGGGTTACTATTGCAGCCAATCTAGATTTTTTAGGTTGCAGAAGATTTTCCCCAGAGGATTTTAGTGTACAGGGTGGATTGTGTGGAAGAAGGCGCTCCTGCAGGAGGTCAGGACCCAAGCCGTGTAGGGCTTTAAAGGTTATGACCAACATCTTGTACTGCGCTCAGAAACTAATTGGCACCAAATGTAAAGATTTTAAAACAAGTGTTATGTGGTCAGTTCTAGATGCCTAGAAATGACTTGAAAGTGCATAGCAGCAGCAACAACAAAGCAACCCTATCATGATGTTTTCTTGGCAAGATTAATTCAGAGATTTGCCATTGTCTTCCCCTGAGGCTGAGAGAGTGTGACTTGCCCAAGGTCATACAGTGGGTTTCATGGCTGACCTGGGAATCGAACCCTGGTCTCCAGAGTCATAGGCCACCCCGTAACCACTACACCACACTCGTCTTCTGAGCATCGAGGGTATAAAACAGAACGTTTTTCTATGATGGCAATCCCCATAGTGAAAACTTTCCTGTTTATTTGGCTATATTAGGAACCTTATTCTTCTGTTTTAACTCCATTATAGGCTGTATCTACACTGCAAAATTAATCCAGTTTGACACTGCTTTAACTGCCAGTGCTCAATGCTATGGAATTCTAGGATATGTAGTTCTGTGAGATGTTTAGCCTTCTCTGCCAGAGAGCTCTGGGTGCCACAACAAAGTATAAATCCTGGGATTCGATAGCATGGAGCAATGGCAATTAAAGCAGCATGCAGTGTGGCAGCAGCCTCAGGGTTGTTTGTCATTGCCTTCCCCAGAGGCTGAGACTTGCCCAAGATCACCCAGTGGGTTTCATGGCTGAGCTGGAAATCAAACCCTGGTTTCTAGAGTCAGTCCAGAACTCAAACCACTATGCCATGCATCTCATTACCAGTCTTCATTTGTCTTTCAGATACTTTAACCAGTTCCTCACCAATAATCAGTAGTCCTGCCACCCTTTCTATATCTGTAGATGTAAAATATCCATAAACAAAATACATGTTTAAACTTGTTTTAATCAAATTGTATCATAAAAATTGGATAAACCATAGGTGGATTAAGAATGAATGGCATGATATATGAAACACTGAATAATATATCACAGTTATTTTAATATACAAACGTTTTAAATCAGTTCTGAGATGTTGAAAATAAGTTAAATACAAAATTATTTTATGTATGGTGTAATATTAACTATACTGTTTTAAACTGATACTTTATTATAACATCTTGACACATGTTACTTATACCATTTGTGTCCAATACTCATCTGTACCCTTACAAGTTGTGATGGAGGGACAGTAAGTGCAAGCCACATTCCTTCTGTTTAAATTAAAATTATTATCTTGCTGTTGTTCTTCCTCTTGTTGTTATTTTATTAAATTTTATCCTGCCTTTCTCCTGATAATAGGACTCAAGGGGGCTAACAAGATATTTAAAACAATGCAAATTAAAACAATACAAAAGTATTAATCACAGTATAAATATAGGATTTAAAAACAGTAAACAATTTATGAAGTTAAAAACATTAAAAATATTGAAATGCATTAAAATATTTGAAGTTGAAGGCTTTCACAGCCAGCGTCAGTAGTTTTCTGGGCTACGTGGCTGCGTTCTGGAATAATTTATTCCTGACGTTTTGTCTGCATTGGTGGCTGGCATCTTCAGAAGATGGTGACATAGAAATGCATGGGGTATATATATTGTGTGACCCTTGGTTGGGAGGAAGTGATTTACAGATTAACATGTAAATAACTTCCTCCCAAACAAGGGTCACACAAGTAAATATATAAATATTCACATATTTATATGCTGCCACCCTCTGAAGATGCCAGCCACAGATGCAGGCAAAATATCGGGAATAAATTCTTCCAGAACGTGGCCACATAGCCCCAAAAACCCACAGAAAACATTAACAGAGTGTATACCAAGCAGAACCACACAGCATTAAAAGAACAATCCTAATTAGTTTACAACAGCCTGAAAGCACAGCAATGGTTTCGCCTGCTGCCCAAAAAGAGAGCAGGGATAGGGCCATCCTGGTCTTTCTGGGAAGAGAGTTTCAGAGCCAGGGAGCAGCCACCAAGAAGGCCTTCTTCCTTGTTCCCACCAGACAAGCCTGAGAGGGTGATGGGACCGAGAAAAGGGAGATGTTTATCTGGTAATGAGACAAATAATTTATGTTGCCCATCGACAGATTGCTGTGTTATATTCAAGAACCATAGAAGCACATAGCTTTTCTTGATTTGCATCCTGTCTCTAGATTCTCTCTCTCTTTTAAAATAAGTATGTACAATCAGCCCTTTGTATCCACAGATTTTTTATCCATGGATTCAAGCATCCATGGCTTGCAAATATTTTAAAAATATATAAATGCCATAAAGCAACTCTTGATTTTGCCATTTTATATATGGGACATAATTATACTATGCCATTGTATTAAATGGGACCTGAACATCCACAGGTTTTTGTTAACCATGGGGGGTCCTGGAACCAAACTCCAGCGGATACCAAGGTCCTGCTGTACTTTGCAATTTAAAGGAACTATACATGAATTATTCCGCTGTTTTAAACTGGGGATGAATGAATCACTATTAAAATAACAGAATATTCTCATGGATAGTAGTACTCTTAAAACAGATTGGATGCAGGTTTTGGTTTGCTAACTGTACTCAAAAATATCTGTAGACTTACTGCTGGTGCTGCATCTTCCATCAATACTATGGCAACCCCTTTTGGTTTCTGCCCTAGAAGCCACCATTTTGTTTTGCAAGAATAAGAAGATAATGGAGAAGGTAGTCCTCTTGACATACTGTATGTCAAAACTGGTTTTTGACTGTACTTGAGGCTGGTAAGCTAATTCCAACATTGTTAAACTGGTAGATGTTGTTTAGGGAAAGTAGTTGAACAAAGCAGATAGTGCCATCCATGGAGTTGTTTATTCTAATGACTTACCATTTGAATGTTATTTGAGCCTCTCCCCTCTTTTAAAACATTCAAAGGCCTGAAATAGACTTATAATAAGAAGAGACCAACTATTCATTTTCTATTTCTTAAAAAAATTTTTTTTGGGGGGGTTGTCTAAAAAAAGAAGCCTGGGGGAGGATATAGCTTAGCAGTGTAATTGCCTGTTTCCATTCCTTTTTTGCTGGAAGGAATTGGGGATATTCCTGGTGGAAGTATGGCCCTCCAGAGGAGGGTACAAAAATGTTCCCTGGACCTGCTGAAGTTGCCTGCCCTTGTTATGCACTTTCAGATAGTTTGAAAATGATGGCAAAATGTGATGTTGACTCGATGAAAGATCATTTCAGTCATCAGGATATTGACAATATACTATTTAAACAAAGTGGTTGCTGTTTGTCATTGAGCAAATGGATTAAGTTAAACTCTAGCATATAAGTCTTTGAAGTTTGGGTTTTTTAAACATCAAAGTGCGTATCAATTTTGTTTTTTGCTACCAGTATAGAAAATAATCGTCTTTGCAAAACACAGGACAATCTTTTTCTAATGTGCTTTCATATCCTTGGCTTCTTAATTATATAAACAGCAGCTTTACTGTTGGGCTTGGCGTTGCTGGAAAACTCTCTGAAACAGGCTGGGTTTCTTTTGTCTGTTTTCTTCTCTTATCTCTCCAGGAATGGTTGCATGAATAGCATTGGCTATGAACTTGAAGCAGAGAGGTTGTCAGGCTTTTTCTTTGAACTCTAGGATAGTGAATACAATATTAATTAGCATATTTTCCTTCCAGAGGTATCCTGATCAAACAGGCTAATTCAGACATAATGTTCCCAGGTTTACAAGCCAAGGTTTATGAAGCTGAGAATGATCATCAAGTTGCTACACTTGTTCTTCACCCCTCCTCCTCTTGCACGCTCACTTAGGTATGGAGATTCTGAATTAAGAATGGTTTACTTATTAAGACAACTGGTATGTTTCCAATGTACATTGGCCATGGTCCATTATGGCAATTTCAGTGTATATCCAGATAACATACTCATTCTTTAGACATTCTTACCCCACCCTTTCCCCATTTTTCCTTCTCTCAATGGGGACTATTTCTTTGGCTATTAAGACTCAGATAAGAAGTGCCGTTTTCAAGAATTGTGGACACTCTGTAACACTTTGCACATATAAGGGGGTGGGGGCTTCTATGTCTGCATTACCCCACCTCATCCCACCTCTTTCTAGCTTATTGCCTCCCCACAGCAACTATTGGGCAAATGTTCTGTAGACTTGTTCTGTAGATCAGGCATATTTTTAAACTGTACAATCTGTTTCAAAATACTTCAAATTCATCATTTTGAATTTTGCTCTACTCCTTGCCTTTTGTATCTTTTTAGTGTTCTCATTCAGAATAAAAGAGACATTTCCCTGTGTATGTACGTATAGAAGTGGCCAATCTGTCCAGAAATATCCTCCCAGGAGTAGCTGATTTAAATATTCCAGGTTATATTGTTTTGTGCTATATTGTTATATTGCATTTCTGTACTCAACGAAAACTAGAAGAGCAACAGAAAGAATGCTTACTTTTGAAGTGGCCATGATGACTAAACCAATATCAAATTCATTTCATTTTATAGTCCA